CCCAATGGATATTCCAGAGGAATCGTATTTTTACTGCACAAAATTAACATTTTACACGCAGCCAGTTGAGACCCTGCCAGCCAGATTAACTTTCGTAATGAACAGGCAATATATTTAGCACAGTGGGAAAAGAGCTTGAATTCCAAAATGGACGACCTTGGTACATAAACACCAATGTTGCGAAATTACTACGTGCTTCCAAACCATACAACCATACACCGGGATGAATTTTTACAGATGAGTAAAGCACAGGGAAAGTTTGAGCGACGACGTTGATTAAAGTTCTACTAACTCAGCACGAACGATGAATGGTTTGAAGGCTAGTCTATACCAATTCAGACCAGGCTCCAGGACATGGTCGCACTGCTGGTTTTCAGTAGCCCATTTTTATTTATGATAATGGAGGGAACCATTCATATGAAATATCACCGTACGGATTTCAGTGACCATGTACATGTACGCTGCAGAATCGCCGCCAACGGTGAAATGTAAAAAACGATGAGCTAAAAAAAAAATTGGCCACCTAAGGTAGTTTGAGTATAAATGAATGCGCATTGTTAAGACGCAATTGACCACTGGTCAAACTATAGTTCGCGCCCGAGCTTGTCAACCTATAGAGTGTGCGAGTTGAAGTGCAAACCCCTCATAAACAAAGAATTACTTTATTAGCAGGTTTGAATTCTCTAGCAGGTTTAAATTCTCTAGCAGGTTTGAATTCTCAATGATGAGATACCGCCATGAAAGTCAAAGTTTGCCGTAGGCCTGCGGGATTTATTCACGAAAATGCCACTTTTGATCGTCCACTATCTACTGAATAATTTGACGTGCATGGGATGGAGCCAAGTTCACTGTACATCTTGCACCTGTGGACTTGCTGATATTTTGTCCCCAAATCCTGAAACCTTAGGCACTTACGATGCACCTTATGTGCCAGATGTCCTCACTATAGCACGTTTACTAGCACGAACTGACTTGCAGATATTCGTCCCCAAATCGTGAACACTTGAGGTATGCTTGTCACTTCAAGTCTATGAGACACGAAGCAGTAGTAAAAAAACTTGACCGGCATACACTGACTAGCACTTGAGATAATGGATATGCGTACAGTAAAAAACACCCATGATTGCACGTCTTGAGAGAGCCCACGTCACAGTAGGACTAGAGTGGCAGTTGTGTCCATACCTGAAGCGAACAGAGAACCAGGACCTGATTTTACACTTACTGTGCCGACCCGGAACATAGGAGCAATTTGGTTGAAGGCATAAAACCAATTTTTATTTCATCGATTTAGTATAAAAATGCAAAGGCATGCACTGTGGTCGGACAGCAGCAGTGGGGAACGCTCAATCCTGTCTGGAAATAACGTTCGACGTTTGTTAAAAATTAAATCCTTTGGTTGCTCTATGATCCGACGGACAAGGGCTTATTTCAGTAACAAAGACAAATTCCAGATAATACAATTAGTAATCTGTTATAGGGTAGTGCCAGACTATCTGGGGCTCATTGCCTCATAAACATTTCGATATCATGAATCAAAAACTATATTATTTATCAGCATAAGTGAACTTTGATTTATTGCTTTCATTTTTATTTCAGGTTCCCAAAATAAAGAAACTAACCTTTCTGTCCATTCACACACTGAAAACCGCATAAAATAAAGGTCAAAGATTGGAAGGACTCGATTTTTTGCCTGAAATCGCCTGAGTTCTGTGTTCTTTTAAAACATTTTGTTAAAAAGAAATTACTAAAAAGCCTGGAGAAAGGGTGGCATCGTTGATACGAACAGACGATGTGACCTCAATTCACCCAATTGCACTATATTGTCTCGTGTCATGGAGTCTCTTTGGAAACCCCACCTGATGTCATATGAAATTTCAATTTCGTTAAATCCAGTTTATTTCTTTCTCAGCTGTCTCTCCGTCTGACATGAGTGTGCTGTGCACGAGGTCGAGCGTATTACAGCCATTGAGTCCATTTTTCATCAAGTCCCAAATTCAATCTGGAGTCTTCACCCCATTATTACTCAACTCTGAAAGAGTGTGTTGTGTTTCCTCATATTACATGGACACGAAACTGCAGGAAACCCGGGAAAGCGTACGTGTGGGTGACTGCTTTATTGCACGTACACAACATCTTTTCTCGAAAATATCTGTGGTGTGGATCATAAAAGGCAGTTGCTCGTGTCTAGGCTCTTTTTTTTCCCGGGTGTTATTTGACCATTTGCTAATTGCAAAAGCTGAATGGTAAAGCTCAAAGCCATAGTTTAGCAATTACCAAATGGGCTTCCCAATTCGGAAAATAGATGCGACACTTTGAACAGAACCGTGTTTACTTTATGGCCTTTCTGAGGGGTTAGGCTACGTTTTACACGCTTTTGGAAGAGAGAGAAAAATAATAAAGACAAATAATCATCCTTTTCTAATCATGTTTATGAAGCCTGATTCTGTTTGGAGGGGGTGTGGCCCCCTTTGGTCTCCTCGATCTGTCTTACTCTCCGTAAAAACCTCCCTCCCACCCACTTCTATCAATACGTTCTCTTTACTGTTCAGTGGTTCGTATAACCCGATCTGGGCGTGTGATAAAGAATGGGCGGGGGGGGGGTAAATTGGGGAGGCTTTGCACCCACCCACCAGCAACCTACTCCCTGCAAAACTGTGTCTTGCTATCAGTTTGTAAATATGTTTAAATGCTCAGTTTGTTTAGAAATTTGGTGCATCTAGTGTTCAGTCTTGGCATTTTAACATTTAGGAATTGGACCTCAAATGTTCAGCACCTAAACATGTTCAAAAAGTGATCACCAGATTTTGTTGAAGCGCTAAACAGCGTTTTAGAGTGCTGATAAACCATTCACAGTGGAAGGGGGCCAATTTTCGTCAAGCAAACTTTGTGATTTTCATCCCCTTGCATTTCTGCTTTTCATTTCTTTGGCTATTTTTCTTTTTGTTTTTTTTCCTGGGGCGCCCTCTTGCCCCCCTTTGCGACACCCATGAAAAGAAACACCCACGTACATTTAGTTACAGAACAGTACATGATTTTTCAACCGTCCAGTTAAGTGTGCATGCCTTTTTATACCAAAGCCTTAACATACGGAAACAAAACAAGAGTGCAAAAACTCCGTCCAGAAAGCCATGGTTTAAATTTAAACAAGTACAAATAAAAATACCATGTACAATGAATCATAGAGAACTCTGTATTATCTTATATTGAGCTTGCGTTTGATATTTTAATTGTTGCGAATCAAGTGGAAAATCCTAAGTTAACGTCAGTAGCGATTTCAAGTTTTATGGCCTGTAATTTACAAAATTACCTCGAAGTAGGCCTGCCTAACTGATATGAATGATGGTAAAATACGTTCATGTTCAATCGGGCGTCTGAGACACCTAATTGGTGTTTTATTAGGTACAGAGATTAGAAGAGCTTTTTCGTTCACATTTATACGCTTCACTACTTTGGTAGGGTTTTCGAGAGTTGCAGGTTCGGCTATATCCTGCTGGTAGTCCGTCCCTCTGATATTTTTTCGAAGGAAATTAATTATCTGCAGGGGGCCGCCGCGTCACTATGTCTCTGCACTCCGTTTCTCTTTAATGATGCAGGCGTGAGCTAAATGAAATACGGTAATGTGCAAGATTAGGCTTGTAACAAATAATCATTAAGCTGTTTGGCTTGTTGTACTCTGTTAATAGCACAAGCCTACCATCTGTAATGAGCTGCACGACGCTTAAAAGTTAATATATTTCGACAGGTTTAGGCATAGCACGAACAAGTGAACGACCTTTTTTAAAGTGAACTCGTTAGAGCTGCGAATATCGTCGTCATTTGCTTGTCTGTCACGTCCATGTGATGTACATGTACTTTATCGACAAACAGTGATATGACAGTCAGTGATACCACCAGCAGGTTTTCTCCTTAAATTAATACCCCCGTGGGATAGAGTAAAAAAAGTGCAAAGCACCGAGTGAATTATTATTTTTGGTTCTCAAGCATGCAACTATTGAGGTGATGTATAAACATTGACGTGCGTAGCGATCTGTTGTTGTTTCAACCTGCGTCTTCCATCTCATCGATCATTGTACTACTCCCGATAAAAGAATGTATTCATGATACGGTTTATGGCTCCATTTAAACATCTTATAGGCATTGCAACCTCGTCCCCAGCGGTTATAAAGTTTATTTCCCGTTTAGCTTCCAATAGTGATCTCTGGAAAGGAAACTTTCCTCCTGTTTCTCTTGCAGGAACATGCGAGGCAACGATTTATCTCTTGTATTGGTGTTGGTAATTTCAGCGTGAATTGACTTGTTTTCACGTTTGCTGTGAATCATGACATCCACTTTCTTTTTTAAATAATCCTCTTTCTTTGCTTTGATTATATTTTTAAATGTGATTCTGCACATCAGTTGAAGCTATTTTAACTTGTTGTCTGAAAGAATTGTACTTTGCGATACAACATACACGCCACGAGGAATTGATTCTGTGTTAAAACCCAACACCGCATACAAAAACGATTGAACGTTGATTGAAAGCATGGTCAGACACCGGACTATTCCTCATTAATCAATCAAAAATGTTAGCTTGCCAGACCAACTAACCTTTTAAATTTCAAAACCCAATCCAGAGTTCTATTATTCATTCCTGAAGATGTGCTGAATAGAGAGGGAAAAAAGCGAATCAAACATGGCTAATATTAGTCTTTTTGGAGTCTGCATAATATTGAGTATTAGTATACCCTTCAATTTTTAATTACAAGCCCTTGAGTGTCTGTCTCACAGGTCACACTTTTAGAGACAAATTGAGGGTACCTGGATTGACGCAGGCATGTATAGGGCTGTTTATTTGCCCATAACTTGTTTATTCACGTGTTCAGTTAATCTCAAGTGCTGCTGGTGCGTATAGGCCATCCATGCTTATCCAGCTTCGAGATGCCATGATTTCCTTTGGCTTTTGCTTCATCCATGACCATTTTCAACTCACGATTGATTTCTTGTAACCGCAACCTCAACAGAAGCAAACGGCCGGCTGAGATTCATCTATCGCATCGCTCAGTGCCTGTATTTTCTACTCAGGACTTCAATCCGATGTGGTCAGCGGGCGTCCAGACGGCGTATGCTCTCGCCTGCTGTCTCTTGGGCTTCGCAGTCGTGTGCAAAGGTAAGGACTCGTTAGGCCTAGGCCAAGGAGGAATAGATCTGTAACATGATGACGTCTGGCTGTGTTTACGAGTGCACCTTCCCATATGGCATTGTTGTTGGACGCGATCCATCTTGTGCCATAGGAAAGCACGTATGTAACAAAGTGTGACGTCATTATGTTACAGGCGTATAGGGGGTTGATGCATCTGGGGAATCACCGAAAAGTAGCCTAACGATTTTTTTGGCATTACATGTATTAAAATGAAGGAATTGCTTTTTGCTGAGGAGGATTTCCAACGGCAAAGGGACTTTTCGACCTTTGTAAACTTGGTAAAGTCTCCAAAATAGTCCGGAGGATGTGAAAGGAACGTACGGTCAACTGCTTGACTTTTCATTGTGTAACTTGATATAAATATTTTAAAAGACAAATTTCATTTTCAGAGTTGGTGCCTGCAGTGAACACATCGAATGATAGATGTATTATGTATTTCCCCGCACTAATTTCGCCTTGTTGAAACGCCCCTTTCATGAAGGAAATGATAGCCCGACGAAATGACTGGTCGGCAGCCACACAATGCGCTGTTTTCAGTGCTGACATTACGTGTAATATTAACAACCCCAACCACCGAAGGTGGTGCATGTTTTCGTTAGGCTCGAACGGTGGCCTTGCCTTGCGTTTAAAGACATAAGACAACGATTAGGAGTCAGAATCGAACAAATTAACCATGTTGACACAAACACAAAAGAATTGAACGGGTATTAGAAGTCATTATAAAGCTAGTTATCATAACTAAGAACTCCCTTGGATGAATTTGAAATCATACAGGATCTTATCCAAAAGATAACGCCTTTTCATCCCGGAGTGAGAATTCATCTCAGAATAGATAATTACAACAGGGTGCCGAATGAACTATGGTGGTTAAATAGGTAATATTTAGAAAATGATAGGGAACCTAATTAAAAGGTTATTTAAAAGAATACAGAATCTCCACCAGAAACATGAGTAGCTTTTCACAGAGGATAAACATAAATTACCATTCACCAAGAACACCGTGTATAAATGGATATTAACCTGTTAACATGTAAATAGTGTTCCACACTAGATTGCAACCTTGGTTCTTCTGTTTAACCAATATTTACTTTTAATGTACAGAGAGCACGCAGCCATTGCAATGTGTACACGCAGGCTTGTATGCCTGGTATCCGAATGTGGTATATCGCCAAAACGAACCAGACAGAAAGGCTGAACCTCTTGTTATCCGAATAATTAAAGCAGCCAAGTGCCGTTCTTTGGTTAAGGTCGTGGAAGTCAGTGGATACAGCTTTTATTTACGTGATGAAAGCTATTTGTGGTTTTATTCCTTGAATCTGTTTTGTAAATTGTAAACTATCCATTAAGATGGCACCAGACTGTTTTGTGATTGGTGTGCATTTCGAGCCTCCCTTACAATTTTTTCCAAATCTGGTTTAAAACACTCAGGTACATTTTTGTATGTTTAATCACAAATTTGAAATTATTCATCAACGTACAGAAGCACCAATTTGTCATGAAATTTTATTTCATTGCTTTCATTTTTACACTTAACTTTCAAAAATGAGGAGTTAGCCTCGCTTTCAATTTCAATATGACCGGCCCAATGAATAAAGTCTACTGTTGCTTGTCGACGCTAATGCAACGTAAATTGCTGGATTAACACAATCAGTACTGTTGCAGATTGAAATCCTTTTCGACGCAGTACCTTTTGTTAATTTAGCAAGGGACTGGGTACCTAATGCAATTAACTTGATAGTGTATGAAGCTGGTTGTCACGCGATCTTGGCAGATCACAGTTTAGAAACTCGCGTGTATGTACATGCATGTGGCTTGCTCTGAATTAGACTTTACGTAGCATTTTCGTCACAAGACTTTTCGTAGAGAAAAGGTAACATTTCATATAGCAAACTATTTACTGTTAGGTATTTCCCCCATCGCAAAGAATGCATACGTAAATTGACACTGCGTACAGAGCATTAGACACAAATGCTCTTATTAATAAAACAGACATAGGTTTCGATATTGCCTGCCAAGCATTATACGAATTTTATCAAATTAAAGTATTGTCTTTTTTATGAATAACTTTAATACTGTTATCCATTTCCTTCAACATACGAACTGTTTGAAATGGAGTATCTTGCAAGGTTCTTTTATTTATCGTGGCGTTTTTTGAGACGACCTATTGGTTTGAATTGTGAAGTGCAGATTACCAGGTTTTCACTTTGTTAAAAATCAACAAAGTTAAAACTGTAGGTTCCCGTGCGTCGGCGTTCTCTTTCTATTCAAGTGGCTGCCCCACATGGTCATAGCAATTCAGTGTTGATTTTGAAGAAGACTTTTTAATATTTTCTCCCCCTAACACCATGTTGAATAAGCCCGAAGCCGCCTAGGCTTTTGACTTTGCCCCCCCCCCGCTGACACCAAAAGCTGGATACGCCGCTGTTGCATTTGTAGAAAGATTCTGTGTGACGCAAATTACAGGATTAGCCTTGCATATACACTCTCGACGAAACTTGACGTCTGTGACAACCACTTACGTTGTATTCATTCAAGGATTTGCCAATTTTTTTGCTTCGGATCTTCCAAGAAATTTTAAAGTGGCTTGAAGATCTTGCGCCTTAGTTGTGCGAATTACAGGGCATTAAAGTTGAAAGTGACACTGATCTTGTTTCCCTCCATAGAACAAATTATGCTGTTTATGGGTATCGAATGTCAACGGAATGTTAGTAAGAAGTCTTTCCTGACGATCGAGAGTCAGATTGAATTCTGATGGAATTGGGATCAAGAGGGTGAAGTCAGGAATAGCGAATTCTGGCCTTCAAATAAATCTTCAAATATTCTGCTCAGTTAGTGACAAATGGGAACGGAGGCTGTGAAAGAAGTACCCAATCTTAGAGAAACACTTCAATCCACAGATGTTCTGCGGGCTTACATATTTCAAAGTGTACATTTTAAAAGGTAACTTTGGAGAAATTAACCATTTTGTTACTACGCCTAAAACATCGATGTTAAATAGCACCCATATGGTTTCAGTATTAGATTTTGAATTGATATTAAAGATGCGACGTGGCGGTAACACCACTGTGTTTTTACAGCATTGCCAAACCTCTAACGATGTTTTTTTTGGAAGCCCTTACATGCCAAAAGCTACAGCGGTCTTGTTTTTAATGCGATCGAAATTCACTTGGATGGAGCGAATTAATATTACTCAGTTTTAAATACGCAACCTGTTGGGTGAAGGCAGACGAAAAACTACTGTAAGGGCCCATACGGGTAGAACTATAAATTTTCCAGAAGTGGATATCGTCGCATGTGCCTTACAAAGGTGAATAACATTGAACATATGCTGAGCTAGAAGGCCTCGCACATAGAAGGACAATCAATAGCCTCACAGTTAAAACCATGGACGTCACGAAAGTGAAAGGGGACGCTTACTTTTTTTTAAAAAAAGAGAAAACTAATTCAAAACTTTTAAAAAAGGAAAGAAAAGTGAAGAAAATAAACGGAAAAGGAAAAAAATAAAAGGGAGTAATCACCACCAAATTAATGTTTTGTTGGTTTGTAGCTGATGCCCTCCAAAGAGTCCGTTCTCTGGCAACTCTAGTATGCTGGATCCGTTCACTGTCCGATGACAGATTTGGTTTGGGTCTAAGAGCGTTTAGATCCTATCTTACCCTATCATGGCGTAGAATTGGAAAGTATACAGAGATTTGTTTCGAATTGTAACTTTTCCCCTCAGACAAGTAGTCGAGGTTCTCGATTAAGCGTGGCAACACAGCCTTGTGCATGTCCATTGCCTCTTTTATATAGGCACGCTGACACACCCAGCATGCACTAACGAAGAAAACTGTATAAGACGGAACTTCCTTTGGACCTATGCAACAGAGGGGCTTTTTGGTGGAGTCAGAAGTATGAAGTCGCAGGTGTAACGTTTTGGTGAAGGAAGTTATTTCCTCAACTTTGTGATTAATGCATACATTACTATAACTTATAAAATACTATCAAAAGTCTAAATTAACTTTAACGAGAAGAATTGATCCGACTAAAAAAAAACCCTCCCACGCACCTATATTTGCTGACAATGAATTGTCGAACGTGTATAATTAATGGAACTTGATTTAAGAAGTTTGTATTAAAGTGATTGTTTTCATGGGCATTGAGTTCATGATGTTTTATGCTAGACTGCCTTGAGACTGTTTAAACAAAACACACTTCTTCAAAGTGGATGATTCTTCGCTTTCTGCAATTAGTGGTGATTAATGAGTGCCTTATCTTTGTATGTTCGGATCGTAAAGTAAAACGTGATTCTCAATCAACAGCGCGGGAAAGGCAGACAAGTCTTCCTGGAAGAACATTATATTCAAAGGTTCCTTCCTTGAAATCAATTATTCTAGACAACTTTAACAGTCTCTTTCATGAATTCAACCTGACATTTGAATGTTATAATGTAGTAGCTTATGAAGCACGCGTTCCATCTGTCTGCTGTTTTGTTTCATCACTATAGCAAGACAGTCTACTGTGGATCTCAATTGAGTAATTTCTTCCAAATTGCAAAGCAATAAATTCTAGTAAGAACCTTGACTGACAATCTTCATTAAACGCGTGAGTGCGGACGTTATCTTTCCATGACATTTACTCCAACTTTCCTTAAAACTATATCCTCCCTGCCCAGCCAACTTTAAAATATTCATTTCGATAAAATCGTTCAAATTCAAGAGGTCGTCAAATTAATTCACCTTTGTCGAGGCCAATTGGAAGAGATTGATCAAGAATTCGGCTCGTTTGCAATTTAATATCGTTTCTGTGGCAACTTATATGTGACTCTTAATCATGTTGTAAATGACTCAATGGTAGTCCTGTATTTTCTTTGTTTTAAAACACCTCTGTCACCTTTCAGTTTGACATGGCGAGAATGTTCTCATTATTAGTCGGAAGTTGTGCAGAATCACAAGGGAGCCATTCATGGTCTTGGATTTATTTCATATAACCATGCCACCAGGTCTGTTTACAAATTGTATTATTTGTCTCCATATTGGAAGCAGGTGTTAACATTCACAACGAAATAAGAT